CTGAGTTGCCGCTTCAGGGAGGGCAAACGCCTGGGATTTCGCCGTGGTAAAGCCGGGGCGAGCGTCTCGGTAGGTTGGGGAAGTCAGGGAAGGTATGTTGCAGCCCGGCGAGCATCAACCTGCTTCTAAAAATCTGTATCAGAACGTCCTGAGATTTAAAGGCGTTTTCTAACGGTGTTTTCTTTCCTCTCCTGCCTGCGATGGGTGTGTGTTTTGCAGAGTTCACAGAGGGTACGTATCACGATACTGTGACAAGACGTTGTTGCTTGAATTTATTGTATGTCCCAAATTTCGTTTTTAAATCCATTGATACGGGAGATCAGCAGTAACGTTACCAGGTACTTTGATGGGGAACAAAACGCTCCTGCTTGCTGAGCCTGAACTCACTATGGAAGCAGATGATACTAAAGGGGTTTGTGTTTTGCTTCTCTCCTAATGCAATCGGTAGGGTCTGCTGAAGGGATATTTGCTTAATACTTTGGGGCGATTCGTGAAGTAATATTTGTTAAAACAAGTTCCACATTGTGGAAGTTGAATTTAAGAATACATAGGTGATAGGTTTTGTGGTATTTCAGTTCTTATTAGCAGAAACATCAAAAGAGGAACAAAAGGAAACCTATTTTAAAAGTTGGATATTTCCTTTTCAAATTATGTCATTAATGTGTCTGTGTTATTTGCTTTTTTTATTTCTCCAGAATGAAAGACTCTAGCAAAAAGAACAACATTTTTGCTCAGTTCAGGAAGAATGACCGTGACAAGCAGAAGCTAATAGAGACTGTAGTAAAGCAACTTAGGAGTTTAGTAAATGGCATGTCCCAGCACACATAGACCTGTTAAATCGACGGTATCTCATAATGCCAAGAGGTATTTCTTAGCCACTACATCTACTAAGCAAACAGTGGTATCAGTTAGGAAATTTGGTTGACTGAATGAAGGAAAAATGTAGTAGATGGCTTGTAAACTGAGTCTTCAGCAACAATTCTTTGTATGTATTTTTAATGGCTTGAATACTATTTTGTATATTGTAAACAAATGGTGAAAAATGAGACTGTACAATAAAAACCAGCTCAATCGTATTGTACATGGAACAGCTGAACTGTAAATATGTTATTTAAATATCTGTAGACATGGTGTCCAAAATTTTGCTCCAGGTAGGAATTACTTGAGAAATGATCCCTTAGTTGCTGTTTTCTGGACGAATCCTAATTTAATCATTTTTAAGCACTGAGATACTTGTGTTTCAGATGCTATAATTTTCCTGCATTAAATGTATATTAGCCTTAAAGTGATTGGACATAATTTTGTATACCAGATTTTGTAGTCTGGAGGTATAAAAAAAATCTTCTGATTTTTAGTACCTTTGAAAACTACCTGAGAACTAGACTTGATATTTATTTAGCTTTAGGGCTTATAGACTTTGTTCTTCACAAGGGTTTATTCTTGAGGTTGTGAATGTAAATAACCATTTGAGTTCTTTATAATGTGACTTTTTGGTTTGGTTTTGTTCCTCAGGGTTACCATTTCTAACTGTGCTTTTGTAAGATCCCGGGTTCTTTTCCCCAGGTTGCAGTAAGGAATAGATTTGCCACTGTTGGTTTCGTGCTGCATCTGTTTGTCAGTATGCTCTTCCTACAAGACCCATCCCAGTGATTAGCATTTGGTCCCACCGCTGATCTCTTTGCACTGTCCCCTCCTGGCTATTTTAGACACAAAGAGAATGTCTAACAAATGCAAACCAAATGGAACGTGTAAAAATAATGTACATTTTTCGCTGTATTTTTAAGTTATTGACGGTCTAAATACAGTGATATAAACCTCACCTGTGTTCCCGTTTTTATTTCACGCACTGGAACGCACCCCAGAGCTGGTTTCGTGGGGATCTGTATAGGTTCCGGCTTTTTTGTGATTTACCCCCGGGGCGGGAGGGCGAGGGTCCGGGTGGTCCCGACGGCGGGGTGCGGGCTGGGGGGCAGCGGCAACACCCCGGCTGTCTCGGGGCTGCAGGGGCGACCGGGAAAGGTCGCAGAGCGAGGCTGGGAGGAGCCCTGAACGGGACTCCCTGCCTTCCCCGGACGGCGGGAAGGGCTGGCCCGAGGGGACGCCTCGGGGGTCCCTG